ATATGAACCACGAATGCAAGTCATATATGTGATTTAAAATTTTCCCGTGACCACATTAAAAAATTTTTTAAAGATGAAATTAATTTAATAATATGTCTTATTTAACCCAATGGATACAAAGTATACATCTCTATATTTAATTAATATACAAAATCATTGAGATATTTTACCTTTTTTTTTTTTGGTCTTATATGTTTGAAATCCAGTATGTACTTTTGAACACACATCAACTGGGGCTGGCTTTATTTCAAGTGCTGTGTGTGGCTACTTGTTACCACAAATCTCCCCTCTTGTTGAGAGGCCAACATGGGGGTCTCAGAAGGTCGGAGGGCCTCCTTGTTAGATTTGCCACTCCTATGACCTGCCTGTATGTTGTTCTCCTTGCCCCGAGATGTGCTTGCTCTTGGGTCACTGACTCATGTCCTAGCTGCCTTTGTGTCCTGTGGTCTGAGGGACTTAACTTGAGCCAGATTTCCTGACACCGTGCCAACTTTCCTCTGTGCTTCCTTTCTTCCCCTTCAAGTCCTTGCATGTCACTGTGATATAATTCAAAGCTTCTGAGGGCTAGGATTCAATGGACCCAACCCAAACAGGAAACTGGCTTTCTCATTGTTTATTAGGAACCATGAAGCAGAAAATGTCAGACACTTGTTTTCAGTGCTTCATTGAGCTGGGATTGAATTGAAACTCAACTATTCCCAATGCGGTCTTCTGACGTCGAATGATTTAAAGGCTTCAACTCTTTAGATGGAGAGGACAAATGAGGGCATGAATTGACCCTCAACTTTCCTTGCTCTGATCATTATCACTGGATGCCTCACCTTTTGCTTAGAATCTCATTAGTCAGAGGCTACAAAATCTTGTATGAAGCTGGGGTATCCTCAAGTACTCTGGGAATATTCCAGCAAGTATTCCACAAAGTCTTTCTGTGTCAAAGGTCTCGGTTTAAGTCTCTGTCCCAAACTCCTTTGTGAATGCCACAACAGACAGCCTTGTCTGCCGCCCCGTAGCGCTCTGCAGGGTGGTCTGGGCACAGAGGTACTGTATACTGCGTACGCCACCATGGTACACGTGTTTGTCTGCTTGTCCGAGAGCCGTTCCTCCTGCTTTCCCTGCAGTATGGCAGGGCTCACCTGCTACAGTGGAGGCCGGCAATGCCAGATGCATGCTTTCCCAGACTCCTTTGCAGCCAGGAACGGCCATATGACCCAGTTCTGCCAAAAAGACACAAGTGAAGGTATCTGGGGAGAGCTTCTGGGGAAGATTTTCCTCCCTGATAAAAAGAGAGAGCCGTGAAAGAAAGACTCTCTTGCAACTCTGGTTGCCTCCTCCTTCCAGATGTGTTTGTGATGTTTGTAACAAGGCCCCTGTTTTGGGACCATGAAGCAACAAGCCTGAGGATGAAAATGAAGTCTCTGGAGGATGTTGAGAATGCTGAGGAGGATAGCAGGATGTCATGTCCTTGATGACACTGTTGTGCAGCTTCACTAAACTTGGAACAGAACTTTCTGCTTTAGGAATGAAACTACTGTTGTTCTATTACTTGCTACCGAAAGCATGCTGACCAGTATGGATGCCTGGTATTTAATGATATGTTCTTATCTTCTGTTTCTTAGAAGGAAGAAGTCACTGAAATACTCTTTCTTCAACCTTGTTGTCCAGCTACCTCTTACTCATCTCATCACCATGCTACTCCCTTTACTTATTTACTTGTCGGTTCACCTCATAAAGTTCTTGTGAGGGCAGTGGCCATGACTATCTGGTTCACTATGGCAGTCCCAATTCCCATTAGGTAATAAATAGTCATTCAATAAATATTTGCCAATTAATGAACCAATGGGGGCTATCAGGGAAGTAAAATCCCTAGAATTTGGCTATTGCCTAGAGGTGAAAGAATGAAGCTAAAAATGGCACACTGTTTCTGGCTTGAGTAGTAGGCTAGAGGGTGCTACCTTTCCCCATAACTCAGCACAGAGGGGAGAGCAGAGTAGTTGAAGAAGATGAGTTTTGCCCTGGATGTGTTGAAACTGATACTTTTGGAACAGTCCCCATAGACAAAGAGTCTGGATTAAGGCTCTGGAAAGATGGGATTGGACAGGAGGACGTATAGCATGAGAGAAGTGACTCTTCAGTGCTCCCATCCCTCTGTGGCACCACCCTCCACCTTGTAATCCAAGTGAGAGTTCAGGAAGTCATCCTTGACATTTCCCTCTCCCTCACTTCCCACATGGATCCATCACCAAGTCCTGAGGATTCCACCTCTTGTCTCTCACACGCATCAACTTCTTTCCACCTCCCTGCCCTCACTGGAGTCTGAGCCAACTACCTCTCTCCTGTGTTACCGCAGTGGTCGACCTGATTTCCCCAATCCACTCCAGTCCTTTCCACTCACCGTGGTCCAGCCATGTCTGTCTTCTCTCACTTCTTGAAACCATCAGTCTCCTTGTCTCAAGCCCTTTATGCACGAGCTTCCATCTGCCAAGAACACTGCTCCCTCCATCCTCCACCTTCCTCCACCTGCCCGTCTCTGGCCTACTCTTCAGGTATTGGCCTAAACCTCACACCCTCGGGAAGGCCTTCCCTGACTACCTCCCACCCCACCCACCTTTGTAGCCTCAGAAATTTAACTTCGTTGGAAACACCATGGGGTGATTTGGGTTTTGGTGACATGTAAAAAACAAAAAACAAAAACAAAAACCTTTACAAAAACCTATTATCAAAATGGAATTATTGGGCGCCTGGGTGGCTCAGTTGGTTGGGCGACTGCCTTCGGCTCGGGTCATGATCCTGGAGTCCCGGGATCGAGTCCCGCGTCGGGCTCCCTGCTCGGCAGGGAGTCTGCTTCTCCCTCTGACCCTCCCCCCTCTCATGCTCTCTGTCTCTCATTCTCTCTCTCTCAAATAAATAAATAAAATCTTTAAAAAAAAATGGAATTATTAATTACAATGAGAAATCTAACTATCGAGGGTCAGAAATTCACAAGTATGGACAAATCCATTGTTTCCCTTAGAAGGCAAATCTACACAGGAAGTCAAATAGCTTGTGAGTACAGGCTCAGACAAGGGGCATTAGCTTCTTGATCTAAATGATTACATTTGCTAAACTGTGATTCCTCCCAGTGTGCCCATTCCCACCACAGGGGTCTCCCTTGACACCTGTTCCTGATCCATGACTCCCAGAGCTGAAGGACCCCTGCCTTTGTCTGCCTGCAACTCCTAAGCTTCAGTGGATGACCTGCCCTCCCATCAGATGTAAGCTTGCTCTGGCTGTGTTAACACCTACTTGGTTAACACCTACCTGGTTTAACACTTAGTAAGGTAAAGGTCAGACCCAGGAGCAGTCTTTTCTTTTAGATGATTTCACATATGTCTGCTTTGATCTACTACATGTCTTTTGTAGTTCTATTTTAAGATGAAAGCAGACTGGTGAAAGCAGACTATTAAAGGACTTAAATCGGGGCGCCTGGGTGGCTCAGTCGGTTAAGCGTCTGCCTTCGGCTCAGGTCGTGATCCCAGGGTCCTGGGATCGAGCCCCACATCGGGCTCCCTGCTCGGCGGGGAGCCTGCTTTTCCCTCTCCTCCCCACTCATGCTCTCTGTCACTATCTCTGACTTTCTCAAATAAATAAATAAAATCTTTAAAAAAAAATAAATCCACTTCTTTCAAAGTCTGTTATTTACTATATTTGTTTAAATTCCTTCAAGATCTGTACTGGTGAGTGTTAGCGAAGGGCATTCTATAGCCTTGAAGCTCTAAGCCTTCTAATGATTGGGGGGGGGGGAGTGTTAGTGCAGGTTCAAGAAGCACTTTAGGTCTTTAGGTTTTACTCTAAAGACAAAAGCCTTTTAGAAGGAAGTTGTTGGAATAAAGGGAAGGCTGAAAACTTTCTTATGCATAAGACCTCATGCTGTACTTAACCACCTCAAAAATATTCCTGCAAGTTTGTCTCTAAGAAGCCACCTTGGAAAATCCTGATCTCCTGTCAGCTTAACCTCCTATCTCAACCTATTCCATGTGAATCAGGTACCATGGGTAACTTTATATAGCACTTGTAATATTTAGCTGAAAAGCCTTAAAACCTTCTCTCTGTTTTCTACCTCAGACCAAAGGGGACATTTAATGACCAGATCACTCTCATAAATTTATTGTCTTGAAACAATAGGTAGGAGAAGGTATTTTTTTGGTTTGTTTTTTGTTTGTTTTACAGAGAGAGCATGCACACATGTGCGTGAGCTGGGGTGGGGGGAGTTGGGAGGGAGGAGAGAGAGAATCTCAAGCAGGTTCCACACCCTGGGTGTAGCCCGAGGCGGGGCTCCATCTCATAACCCTGAGATCATAACCTGAGCCAAAATCAGGAGTCAGTCACCCAACTGACTGAGCCACCCAGGCGCCCCTTGGAGAGGTTTTGTTCTGACAGAGGGCACTCCAATGGGGCTAATCTACTGTCGCCTTCTCTTATTTCTTGTTTGGGTTGCTTTTGAACCTTGGGTGAGTTTCCATTCTTGCCATGTTTTCTTTCAAACATGCTAGCTGTGGATGTAGGGAGGTGGGAGAGAGGAGTGTGGCGTGGCTTCACCCTCAGGGGTAACGTTCCTCCCAGGATGCTGACCGCTTAGGTGTGCTCAGCCTCAGTCCTGGGGTGGGGGGTGCCCGGGGCCTCTATGGCATGCATAGAAGCTGCCTGGATATTCATCTCAAAGTGTTAAGAGTGTGCCCTGAACATCAGTGACTGCCCTAAGTAACCCATTCTCATCCCTTAGCGAGGAGAATGATACGGACTTGAGAGGCGACCCACCGGGATGGGTCCATACCTCTGAGTTGAACAGGGTTTGCTCAACTACACATCTGGTGTTACCAGTATAAGAAAGGAATAAGGATACCAGTACATCAAAATATAAGCAATTCTAAGCAATACACACGTATGCATATGATTGTTAATATCCACGATAGCAATAAAAGGCCTATGTGACTTTTAAACAAAATTTACACAAAACTGAGTTGTGAGTATAATTTTATTCATATTCTTAATTGGAAATTGGTTATATGGACAATAGGAAAGAATACAAGTGATCCCTAAGAAAACTAACAAATTACTCACTTCATTTCAGGATAATACTTAGTAACAAAAATAACTTGAGAAAATTAACACCATTTAAATTAGACAATGTACAAGGCTCTAGAATGTTCCTATCTACACGTCTCTGTGAGCCCACCAGGTGAAGGCACAGAGAACACTCTAGAGCTCCTCGTGAAGATGGGCCTGAAGACACGTTAGAAGCTCTGGTTCGCTCAACCATGGCCCAGGTTCTTCACTCCTGGTTATCTTTGGTTCTGCTTGCTTTTTTGTGTCCTTCCCCCGACCCCCCCTCCCAAATCTTATTTCACAAATTCCCTAACAAGGGAGATCTCTGTCCGAACAATGAAAATTTAGTTTTTCCACAGGAATGCACATGACTCTATGACAGTTGCAAATTCAGGGCTTCAGAAGGCTTTGGTTACAGGGTTGTTAAATTGGAACAATGTTTGTGTTCCCGAGAAAAGGAAGAAGTGGACTTCTCCCCAGGTATTTGTAGGTTTCCTTTGGGGCGCCTGGGTGGCTCAGTCGGTTAAGCGTCTGTGTGTTTTGCACTGAGCGCTGGAAGCCCAAAGGGGAAAAAAAGCCTTTAGGCTTTCACGATTTCTCTTTTTGAATCCTCCAAAATACTGAACTGATAGAGACTCAAGTAGAAGGTAGTGAGCGGAACTTTCCACGGCATCCTCAGCATGTTTGGGTATATAGAATGTTTATAGGACTGATAACTTTAAGATTAAAACAAACAAAAAACCAAACCAAAACAAAACAGGAGAACCCTTTACCGGTATGTCTTGTCAGGTTTCTGAGTGAGGATATTGTGAGCCTGCAGAAAATAATGATTTTTTTTTTTTTTTAAGTAAGAAACTCAACAATTTCCAAGCACCCAGAAACAATCTGACCTTCACTTTCAGTCTTTATAAGATATAAGACATCCTCAGATGAATTGCAAATGTGGTTTTAAAGGGCCTTGGATGTTGATGACTTGGTTCTATGCATTCCTGGCATTTACGAAATTAACTTGGGGATTAAAGTAAAAATGGCTATGCCAAGTATTTTATAAAAATGTAACTTTTCGTTAATATCTAGGAACTGGTGAGGCCAGGAACTTCTCTTATTTTACCTCATTGAAAAAACAAATCCATTCTCATAAGAAAAAGATCATAAACTTTACTAAAACATCCTTTGCGATGTCTAAGAAAAATAACACTACAAAATAATTTTGACTGATAAAACCCCTTTCTCCCTCCTAGAGCTGTGTCAGCGGGAAAGAATCAACCATCTCCTTGTAGGAGAACGCCGCACACACACAGGGCAGCATCCAGGCCCTTCTGCCCAGGAGCTGGAGAATGAGCTGTGGGCACCACAGCTGTCCCGCATAACTTGTATTGATTTTAAACAAGTCAAACTGCTTATCGGAGAATTCTGGGTTGACTTTGATTTTGTGACCATGAATTCCATTCACTGAAGCCTTTGTTGGTTTGTAGAGCTTAATTTTTAATACTGTTAACATCATGTAGCCAACCAAACACCAAGAATATCAATAAATAACAAGCTCTGGTCTCACGTCTTCTTCCCGTTGGAGCGTTTGACTTTATGAATAGATTACATGTCTAGCACCAGCGCCCCACCAGGGCAGACCATCTGGACGCGTCTCTCACATGTTTGGGGGTGTTCCTGGAGTCTAAAAGAAAGCCACAGAGATGAGCCTAAGAGCAGATTGCCAATGGGTCAGTGTGAATGTTGTTGCGAATGAAAAACAGCAGTTTGCCGAGACCCTGGGAGTCACCTGGGGCAGTCGGTCAGTCCCCCCTTGGGACCTGGGCTGTGGGTGGGGCTTGCCCTCACAAAGGGCTTTCAACCATCCTTTTTTTCTTGGCTTGGAGGTAGAAGATGCGGTTTTCTTCAGGATAAGTGACTTTGCTGAGGGGCATCCTGTAGATGTTGGCATTTTTCGTGGTCACCAAGAGGAACAGTAGTGTGGCCAAACAGAAGGGCCAGGTACAAGCCGGCAATCCCGCCTGAAGAGGAAGACACAAACCACATGCTCCTTTGAGATCCCGTCACAGAGCACCACCCTTCATCCTATTCTCATTCAGCCCAGGGGGATGCGTCCCTGGGCTGCCGATCTGGACTCGGCTTCTGCCCACCGGGACTGAGTCCAAGGGCCCAGTCGGACTGCATTTAGCAGGCGAAACGTCGCCGTCCATTCCTCCGGTGGTCAGTGGCACGTCCACCTTGCACATCTTTCCCTCCTCTCATCCAGCCAGGCTTCCTACACCACGTGTGCGGAGATGAGCCCAGGCAGCCAGAGGTGTCACTCCGCAAGCTACCAGGGGCTCCTGACCCCTCACCACACCCACAGGGCCCTCCTTGATTGGTTTGGTCTGTGGTGAGCTCTCTCCTCCTGACTCCCACCCAGACCAGTCTTGGACTTCCCTTCCTTTCGTTCCAGTTCCCAAATAGACTCTAAGCTCTTGGAGGGGAGGTCCTTCCTCTGGGCTGTTCTTGGCAACTCATGCAGTTCTGGAGAAGGTCAAGGGCAAGACAGTGCTGAAAAGGAAGGAGGCACTAAACAGGCAACGATTTTGCCTATTAAATAATTCAGCTAGGACATGGGTCTGAGTACGTCTTACGACTGACGAGGGGTTTAAAAAAAGACAAGGGGTATGAACAACGAATGGCTCAATTAAAAACAAAACCCAAACCATTTGGGTCTGTAGGCAATTATCCTTTTCCTCCCTTTCTTGATTTCTCAACCACTACCTGGTTTTGGCTTTCTGTTCAAGTAGAAGATATTCTAAAGTCAGTTCCTGATCCTCAGAGTTAGAGTAGGAACTTGATAATTATGGTATACAGCCTTTCACTTCTTTAAATTATGCAATCTGGTATTTTTATTATTATTATTTTTTAATCTGGTATTTTTTTAGCAAGCCCAGTGATTGTAGTTTGGACTAAAATTTACTATGATGTTAGCAGGTGTGTGAACAGGCAGGTCCAGGAGACGGGAAGATCGTGGTGACCGCAGCCCTGGCTCCTGCTGGAACACCACCAGGGGGACCCCAGGAGGGTTTCCACATCACTGAACACGGATCAACCATGCTGATGATAAAGCGAGATTAAAGCCAACTCACCACAGCCATCACGTGGGACAGGCTGACTCCAAGGTAGGCCGTGAACAGAGCTACAAAAAGAAGGGAACAAGACTTAGTAGGTGCACTTTTCATTACAGGGAAGACTGCTTTCTGGTATAAATCTCCTGGAAATCCATGTTTCACCAGCTAGCTCAGCACCCTGGTTACAAGTAGGAGCTTACAGTCGGCAGCTCTGGGTTCAAATCCAGACTCCACCACTTAGGAGCTTGGTGGCCCCCATTCTAAGCCTCCACTTTCTCACCTGCTCAATAGAGGTGATAGGAATTTCTCACGGGGTTGGTGTCATCATGAAAGGAGATAATACTTGGGTTTAGCACACAGTAAGAGGTACTCAGTAAAGGGAGTTTTCTGTTGTTACTATTCTGTTGCTATTATTGCTGATCCCTAAGGAAAAGGCCTTCTATGGCAAATTAACTTCCCTGTTATTTTATCTGAGCATAGTTGAATTAAAATGATGGGGGCGCCTGTTAAGCGTCTGACACTTGATTTCAGCTCAGGTCATGATCGCAGGGCTGTGGAGTCGAGCCCCACTTTGGGCTCCACGCTCAGTGTGGAGTCTGCTTGAGATTCTCTCTCTCCCTCTCCCTTTGCCCCTCCCCCACTTGCTCTCTATCTCTCTCTAAAATAAGTAAAATCTTTAAAAAAATGAAACGTATGAATGTTTCTTGAGATAGCATGGTTTCTGTGCAATCACAATATATGCATCTAGGAGTCTCATATTAATGGTTAGAATTCACAGTTACAAAAAAATCATGGTATAAAAAAATAAAAAGCAGAAACTGACCACAAACTTGGGATTTCTTCCCATAAAAAAATTGTTCCAAATACCATTAAGATTGGCATATAGGCCAATGAATTCATATGCTGTGTTTTTATTTACTCTGAGTGAGCACGGATTTTAAAGTAGGTAATTTGAGTCTATGTGTGACCCTCAATGTAAAACAACACACACAAAGACCTCAAGTAGCTAATCATCAGTTGAAGAAGGGGCTCGGGGAAGTTCAGGGAAGCTCAGGTTTCACAAAGTCATGCTGCAGAATGACCGTGCATTGGCCACCCAGTCCCCTGGGCCATGGCTGGTTCTGTTAGACATGCCCACCACCTAGACCTCCAGGGCAGGGAGAAGTGATATGAGCCCCCAGGGGGGCAGGGTGGGAAGTGGGGGGAGGGACTCTGATCCTATTTACTTTACCATCCTTCCATCAATCTTTGGTCTTTTTATCCTGGTATTTTTGTTCAACAGTATACCTCATTTTTTCACATCTGAATTGTCTCATGCTAGGGGGAACGGCTTGTCTTGGAAACAGCCTGGGCTTCAAACCCTGGCTCTGCCATTTTATTGTACAAAAAAATCACTGAACTTGGGAATCCAGTATTATCGTCTGTAAAAGGGCAACTTGACGATGCACTTTACAGGGAGGAGATGAATCTCAAATGCAGTCTTGTATTTCCACAAACAGCCACTGTCAACCCATCCATGTCCCCAGGGGTGTGTGTGGGGGGGGGACCACGATGCTGCTCTGAGCAGAAGCGGGCAGTGGCTTGGTTTGGAAGAGCTTCTTTGTTTGGTTTTGATAATTTCATTCTTTTTTTCCCCCCTTTCATTCTTCCTTCCTTCCCTCCTTCCCTCCTTCCTTCCTTCCTTCCTGCCTTCCTTCCTTCCTTCCTTCCCTCCTTCCTTCCTTCCCTCACTCATTCAACAAATACTCACTGCCTTTGGGTAAGCACCAGAACACTCTGCCCTGCTCTCTTGGGTACCGGCTCTTCTCCGAGACCTCCCCTGAGCCCATGAGTCCTTACTGCCATTCTTCTCCTTTTCACACGGGTCGCACCTGGAAGGCACAGTTACCGCCCCGGTCTCTTCCTGCTAGGCTCCTTCCAAGTGGTCTCCGATGACAAGTTGCTTTTCTTTCCACAGTAAGAGCATCAGACTATCTAACAGTAGCTGCCATCAATTAAGGCTTGCTGAGTGGGACCGGGAGAGCCTCCCATTAGAGGAGAAGTCTGCACACCACAGGGTTTAGGCGATGACTCTGACAGTGCTCTGGGCAGCCGAGGGACAGAAAGGCCCTGAGTGCTGAGCAGACAGTGTCCATCCCAGCAGACCCCGTGGGCCAGTCCTACTAGGGCAACCCAAGCATTGAAAGGGGACAAAATGTCGGGGCGCCTGGGGGGCTCAGTCAGTTAACCCCCTTCTTTTGATTTTGGCTCAGGTCCATGATCTCAGGGTCCTGAGATCGAGCCCTGCCTTGGGCTTGCACTGGGCGTGGAGTCTGCTTAAGATTCTCTCTCTCCCTCCGCCCCTCCCCATCTCTAAATAATAAAAAAACCCCAAAAAACCAAAAAACCAAAAAGAGACAGAATGTGTCTCCAGTTTGCGCTGACAAAATAACAAAATTGAGGAATTCCCTGGTGGGCAGTTTCCGGTTTCCAGGCAGGGCAGGCGGCCCTGCTAGGCTCTATCAGAGCTTCCCCGCTCTTCTGATAACACCATCGGAACCAGGGAAAGAGCAACTCTGTAATAAATGTCTGTTATTTATTTGCCCTGGCTGGCAGAGTTGGTCTCTCGTTTGGCAGGGTCAGGGTGATGTGGGCAAGCTGGAACTTGCTGTGACATTTTCCGTGTGAGACTTGCTTTACAAGAGGGGCTGGAGGTCTGCCTTCACACTTTCTGTCCAAAGACGGAGAGGGGCAGGACCCAGTGTGGATCCAACAGCCACTCTCGCACATTGTCCGTGGCAGGGGAAATCCGTATGGCCTCTGTGGGGGTGAATGTGGCATCTACTGAAATTCAGATGGGCAGAGCTAGGATTTTGGCCCCAGGGTCTGGGCTCTCCGCTAATTCTGTATATTGCCCTAACCGTGGAGAAAATCTGACCTGTCCAAGGGAAGGTAGGCGCGATAGGCGGAATAATGGCCCCCAAAGATGTTCCCATTCAAATCCTTAGCACCTGCGAATATGTTAGTTTACAGGGCGGAAGGGGCTTAGCAGCTGTGATTAAGTTAACGATCTTGACATGGGGAGACTAGCTGAATTATCTAAGTGGACCCAGTGTAACCACAGAGTCCTTGTAAGAGGGAGGCAAGAAAGTTGTATCGAGGGAGTAGGGTGGAATGTTTTTACTTTCTGCTTTATACTCTTCTGTATTTACTGAGTTTTTGTTTGTTTTGTCTTGTACAATAAGCCTGTACTACACCTATAGTGAAGAAAATAATGAAGATATTCCTGCTTTGAGGAAACCCATCTGCAAACATCTTTGGCTTCATCCCTTTCCACACTCTGTCAAGATCTCATCAGCAACTCTTGTGTCCAAAACAGTGTCTGCTTGATCTTGAAGGATGTGCTCAGGCAGTTAACCCCCTTCTTTTGATTTTGGCTCAGGTCCATGATCTCAGGGTCCTGAGATCGAGCCCTGCCTTGGGCTTGCACTGGGCGTGGAGTCTGCTTAAGATTCTCTCTCTCCCTCCGCCCCTCCCCATCTCTAAATAATAAAAAAAACCCCAAAAAAACCAAAAAGAGACAAAATGTGTCTCCAGTTTGCGCTGACAAAATAACAAAATTGAGGAATTGAGGAATTCCCTGATGGGCAGTTTCCGGTCCCCATGCTGGCCCGGACCTCCCCCTCCACCAACCAGACTTCCTCCTCTTGATTTTTAGGACGTACAGAGAAGCCACCTTCTCTAAGAGGTGCTTCTTGATGATTCTGAACTGTGATGCTCCCCCAGAGACTCTGGTACTGTAGACATGTCCTTGTTCCCCTCCCAATATTCATATGGTCTCCGTGGGCTTCTCTCACCCACCTGGCTTCTGCCCTGGACCGTAACACTCTCCGTGCAGAGCAACTTCTGGGATCTATGCTGCTGAGCTCCTAGCTCTTCCTAATACTGTCTGGGCTGTTTCATGAGCATTTAGTATGTATTTGTTGTTCCTGCCAACCCAGACACATAAAGGTATGCACCTTGAATAAAGATTTGAAACCTCAAACAATCTCACAGTAAAGCTTCTAACCTGGCCTAGCTCAGGTGGCACGTAATCCGTCTTCTCCCTTGCCCTAAACTTGTGAACAGATGTGGGAAAATGAGCAAAGAGCTTTGACGGGCTTAGTTGGTGGAACAGCTGTGTACTACAAAGAAGTGGGCAAAATGACGTGGACATGGTGCCAACACAGCAACCTGAGATGTGTTAACCTTGCTACAGCTTCGGAAGATCGAAATTGAATGAGGCCTTAGAAATCCTCAGTCCCACCTCCTGCCCAGTGCAGGAATCCATTCTAAATCCTGCCTGACATGTGGTCGACTCTTTTTTTTTTAATTTAAATTGAGGTGTAATTGACATACAATATTATATTAGTTTCAGGTGTACAGCATAGTGATTCTACCTTTGTATACATTGTGAAATGCTCAGCTCGGTGAAGTCTCGTCACCATCTGCCACACACACAAAATTAATACAGTATTATTGACTCTATTCCTCATGTGGTATATGACACCCCATGGCTTATTTATTTTATGACTGGAAATGTATACTTCCCTTTACCCATTCACAACCCTCCCCCCCCTCTCCCCCCCACCTCTGGCGACCACCAATCTGTTCTCTGTACTTACTGAGTCTGGGTTTTGCTTTGTTGTGTTTGTTTTTTTAGATTCCACATGTAAGTGAAATCATATGGTATTTATCTTTCTCTGTTTGATTTCACTTAACATAATACCCTCAAGGTCCACCCGTGTTGGTGCAAGTTGCAAGATTTCATTCTTTTTTATGGTTAAGTAGTATTCCATTGTGTATGTATATTTGTGATCTGACATTTTAGTAGCAGCTTAGATAACTTGGATTGATTCACCTGGTGATAAACTGACTCTAGACAAATATTTCTATTGGTTAGGAACGATTTCTGCACCTTCCACCATCCTCCGCCCTGCATATCCCCCAGGGAGGGTCATTCCCTGCACTCTTAACAGATTATCTTAAATACTTTTACTTTGTATTGGATTAGGGATGCCAGAGGCTCTGGGTGAATAAGCCTCCCCTTTACAAGGGCCTGAGAAATCCATTAGCTTTTCAAATCTAAATCACTTGAGCTCTGTTTTTACCTCAAGGCCTGAATGCTGCCACAGGGAAGCTGGGGTAGTGAGTGGATGTAATTCCAGAGGTTGTTAGCAAATGTGGATTCTGGGCTTGCATTTACCCTAACTGACTGGATGCCCTTCAGCACATCACTTTACCTCTCTGGCCTCAGAACCCCAGTAGTAAAATGAGGGGGCTGGGGCGGAGATCTGCAGAACCTCTCCTAGCTCTGACAGGCCGAGGCTGGCTAGAATACCGGGGTCAAAAGCGGTGAACACAGTGCAAGACGTGGCCCCCAGAGCACCAGCAGCAGCACCATCTGGCCCTCTTTAAATGCCAACTCCTCCCTACCTCGAACGAGGAATCAGACACGGGGTACTGGGGCGGGGGGCAGCCGTCTGTGTTTTAACAAGCCTTCCAGGTGATTCTGACGTCCCCTGAAGTGTGAGAACAGCTAGATTCTTGTGATTCTCAAAGGGCCACATGTAGTCCTACCTGATTCAGCAGGAGGAATGGCTCTGTATCTAGCTCGGGTCATTTCATCTTAGTTTCTTGGGTCAAACGATGAGTATGAAGAAATAGATGAGTCAAGTTTCTACCTCCCCCCTTCCCCTCCCCCATATACAGATGGCAAAATGGTTAGCCTGACTCAACAGGCTCTCCTGTCCTCACGACAGCCAATGAGGAGGGCACAGCAGAGCTTAACCCTCCCAGGGAGGGGACGCCACTTGTCCTGCTCACACATGCAGACAGCCGGGGGCCCACACTGGAACCGCGGCCCCAGCGTCTCACACAGTCCCTTTGTACTGTGTGGACTGTTCCCATAGTTCTGAGCAACCCTCCCGCCAGTGCACGGAATACTCACCACAGGCAAGAGCCAGGATGTGCGTTTGCCAGGTGAGAGCCATGAACATTCCTCCAATTGCAATGCAGGCCAGAGAGCTGTTGAAACCCCAGAGTCCAAGGTAGATGTTCTCAAATGGTGCCGAGACACTGAGTCCTATTAGGTGAGACAGGTGAAGTCAGGGCTGGGCACCAAAGGCAGGACGCTCTGGAAGGAGGCCAGGGGTGGGGGAAGCTAGTCCCATTGGTCCCTGGGAAGCAGAGCCCTCAAGAAGGCCTGGCGTTTGGAAGATGCCTGAGGGGAGGCATGCGGGGCAGGAGCTGCTCGATGTTTGCTCACCTGCTGCTATCCCCAGCAGCGACCCGATGGCAGCATGCAGGGACATGAGTGGGGAGGAGAGCAGAAGGGCGACCAGGAAAATGCCCCCTGTCCACGGGTTATCACAGCCGTAGATCTGGCCCACACCCACGGGCAGCGATTTCAATAACTGCAAAGCGATTTAGAAAATGAGCTCATTAACACAACTGAGCAGAAAGCCGCGGGACCCCACAAGCGCATACAGTGTCATGTTAGAGTTAGCGTTTCTCGTCTTCCCAGGTCAGTGTTACTCATTTTTAAAAGTTTCTTTCTCTTGACAGAGAAATCTCGTTCTTCTGCTTTATCCCGAGAGATAGACCCACCCGCCCCTGGCGAATGCTGAGCCTGCCTTCTCAGGATGCCCCTTTGCTCGGGGGCTCCGCTGTGCGCACGGCCACTTGGAGCTGGTGGCTGATAGGCTCCCGGGTGGTCTCACTGCTCCCCCCCCCCCCCCCCCCCGGTGGCGATGACCTGCCGAGTCTCCCAGTGAGGACAGCAGGGACCACGGCTGACATTTCCGCTGCTCTTAACTGTCCATCGGTTGTCAGGCTAACACGTTAGTGCACACCAAGGTCAAGAGAAGTGTTATTACTTTCGTGCAATTGGGTTGTTAAGGCCAGAGACCCAGAGCTGGGTTATCTTATCCACAATTCAGAAGCAATTATCGGCAAGTTCAGGAATCAGGACCCTATTTATACTTACCTAGAACATGTATTAATTTTTTTAAATTTTATTTTATTATGTTATGTTAATCACCATACATTTACATCATTAGTTTTGGATGTAGTGTTCCATGGTTCATTGTTTGCCTATAACACCCAGTGCTCCATTTTTAATGGAGCTCCATTTTTAACGTGCCCTCTTTAATACCCATCACCAGGCTAACCCATCCCCCCACCCCCCTCCCCTCTAGAACCCTCAGTTTGTTTCTCAGAGTCCATAGTCTCTCATGGTTCATCTCCCCCTCTGATTTCCCCCCTTCATTTTTCCCTTCTTGCTATCTTCTTCTTCTTCTTCTTCTTCTTCTTCTTCTTTTAAACATATAATGTATTATTTGTTTCAGAGGTACAGGTCTGTGATTCATCAGTCTTACACAATTCACATGGGGGAGGGTACGTGCTATAGTGAGCGCTGTGAATTGAGCTGAGGAATCACAGAACATGTATTAATTTAAGCCAGAATATCATTGGCTTCTTCCACTTACCAACAACTGCCAGTTAGTCCTCAAAACACAAAACCACATGTGAATGTCACAGTTCTCTGTTCTGGCTGAGGCCTGATGTCAGCTATGTGCTCAACAGAATGGCAGTTTTCGGGAAAGTACAGGGTTTGATTGAAGCTAACAGATAATAATTCTTTATAATGGCACTTCTGGTCGAGCCAGGAGAGGCATAATTAGCCACATTAGGCTCCTTTGTGACCAAGTCCATTTACTTGCCCCACATCACATGTACATCTTTTGAGTGACCTTGGGGAGGCAGACTCTGCTACAGGGGACCCTGCTGTGGCACGAGGACCTGCCTCCTCCCCTCATTCATTCGGTGGGATCTAACACTGGCTTGCAAACCCTGCTCCGGTCCTTGTGCAGAGCACAGGACCAGACTGTGAGTTTGATTCTATCCTAAGATGGACCCTGAATTTTCCAGCTCACAGTGGATCTTCATGTCTACACAAGATCGTTTACTGTTTGTCTGGACCAGGGAACTTGACACAGGCAAAGACTACATAGGCTTCCCCTCAGAACTGATGGCAGAACTACCCCTCAGGGAGCCAGGGAAGCGGGGAGTCGGGCGAGATGGGAAAGAAGGGTGCTGATGTTGGGGTGGTAGCTCAGAGTGAGGAGAAGACCCTCACTTCCGCAAATGAGTACCGTCCAACAGAACTTCCATGGTGGCGAATATTCTGTACGTGGCCACTGAGTGCGTGAAGTGTGGCTAGTAAGGCTAAGAAACTGAATTTTTAATTCTATTTCATTGTAATGAATTGCACATTTAAGTTAAAATAGCCACGTGGGGCCGAATAGCTACTATATTGGACAGGGCAGTTTTAGATAGATCAATTAACACTATAATATTATTTTTTGTGGGTAGGTTCGAATAAGCATTTGATTTTCTAAGTTATTTCCAAAAGCTCCCATTTATTTTCTGGGCAAGAATGTAAAGAAAAGCCTGCCTGAGCTCCTCACGCATTTTGATGGCTCAGCAAAGAGGACAGCAAAAGGGGTTATGTGACCTGAGAGTGGGAAAGCCAGGCTTTTGCACATCAAAAAGGTGCTTTTTGTTTGTTTTCCTCTGATTTTAAGCGTCCTCTTTGTCAAGAAACCTTCAACAGAGTTATTAAATAAACACCAACAGAAGTGAACCAGGTTTTTTAAAAATGGCAATTCTCTCTGTGCACACCTGTAAAGAGATACATGCAATACATCCTATGATCATGGTTCTTAAACCCTGGTCCACATCACCATTATTTGGGCAGCTTGTTAATACAGGTTCCTAGGCCCCCTCCCCAGAGATAATGATTTGGGGAGTCTGAGGTGGAGCTTGTGTTGGTATTTAAAAACAATGATTCTGATGGCAACCAAAGCTTGAGAACCATGAATTATTGTACATATTCTTTGAGATCTACCCAAAGAAAAAGCAGAATAGAGAGGTTCTTTAATGAGACCTAACAGTAAGCTGCCAGCTCTTTTGATCAGAGGGGGCAGGTCATGGAGGGCTTAACTCCAGGCTCAAGGCACTTCCTCAAGGACTGGCCCCCATCCCATCCACCCAAAGAAGGGGCAAATTTGAAACAGAGTCTTTGATTTCCAATGGAGCTATACTCTGGACTGGATTTTAGAAAAAGAGGGGGAAACTTAGCTTTGAGCAGTCATTTAAAAAACTCTTTAAAACAAAGAAAAAAAAAAGAGATAAAAAACCAGGCCCTTAACTACAGAGAACAAACTGGTGGTTACCTGAGGGAGGTGAGTGGGGGGATGGGTGAAGTCGGTGAAAGGGATTAAGAGTACAGATATCTTGATGAGCACTGAGTAATGTATAGAATTGTTGAATCATTATATTGTACACCTGAAACTAATATAACACTGTATGTTAACTATACTTCAATGATAATAATAAACAAACCCTTAGAGCCCAAAGCTTTGGAGTAGAACAAATGGTTTAGGGGGCAAGATGAAGACAGCAAGCCGAGTCTCCATCAGGCTCTGATGCCCAAGAACAATTAAACAGGAGGACACTGAGTGTCTTCCAGAGTCAGGAAGGAATGCAAGAAGACAGTGTATCTTACCTGCAGGGCACTGAGGTCAGACCAGGTGATATTGGGAACCGCGGTCACGGGTTTGAACAATTTGCCTGGGAAGAATGGATTGTAATGTCCTGTGGCCGATAAGTACATTGATAATGCCATGTTGAAGGGCAGCGTGAAGACGGGGAGGTCCCATTTGCAGAACAAGGAGTTCAACGCACTTGAGAAAATTGGACTAATAACAACAACAACCACAAAACAGAATGGAAGAACATGCATGTGACAAGTCGTTTGACAAACTGAATCTCTACACTGGGGAGAGGCTTTGTTTCATGGGCACAATGCTAACGTGCTGTTGTTTCAGCAAACTTTTCACAGGGGGAAAAAGAAAGAAAACCAAAAAAACCCAAACTGAAACAAAAAAACAAACACGCGTGGAATAAATCCTGTCAGAGAATAATTCTTACATGAAGTCAAAAATCAACTCTTTGCTTATTTGGCTTTTGAAAAATTATACTCTGGGGTTGCTCACAGAGACTTATAAAATCTAGGTTTTAGAAATATTTTTGAAGTATTTTAGACATGAAGTAAAATACACAGTTAGAGCCCCCTGTGTAACCTACTTGATCATGGTACATGATCATGAGCCCCTCCCTCCTGACCAGACGCAACCGCCATCTTGAATTTCTCTATCATCTTCATGAGTCTTTAGTATATCTATTTTTGAAAAAGAGAAACAATTATCCAAGGGAGGATGTAAGGTGGTGTGGGCTGGAGGAAAAAGATCTTAAACTCGGGGTGGGAGGGGGAGCAGGAAGGGGAGGAACAGCTTTAAGTCAGGAATAGTTGGTGAACTATGTGACCTTTGGCAAGGAACTACTCCTCCATTTCCTGGTCTGTAGTCTGGGGGACTGGATTAGATCAGATTAGATTGTCTCTGGGCCCCTTTTGGGCTCTCACTTGTTAGCCCATCACTAAGGTCAGAACTCCAGATTATGGGAGGGGGTGTGGGGAGTCCCTGCTGATGACCCACTTCCTGTCCTTGAGCCTGTTTTTCGGAAATTACTTCCTGCTCAGATCGGCTCTGCCCGCAGACTCTCTCGCACACGCCTATGGATGCTGGCCGGGGGGGGCGGTGGGGGGCGCTGCAGACTTTGTCCAGAGTGGGCTACACTACTCATTTGTGTGGGTATTCGTGTTTTATATCCTAAATGTGCCATAGTAAGAAGGAAACGTATGCTTCCAAAAAACAAACAAAAAAGGACTTAAGAAACTAATTTGAAGGATTTAGAGTTAAAAAAAAATCCTTTTTTTTGAAGGATTTTTTGAATTCAGTAACGAAATTCTTTGAAGGCAGCAGGGGCAGGTGGATAAGGAGAGTTCATATAGGCACATACAGTGGTTCTCAAAGTGTAGTTCCTGCATCAGCCACCTCACCTGGGAACTGGTTAGAAATGCAGATTCTTTTTTTTTTTTTTTTTTTTTTTTTAGATTTTATTTATTTATTTGATAGAGAGAGAGACACGGCGAGAGAGGGAACACAAGCAGGGGGAGTGGGAGAGGGAGAATCAGGCTTCCCGCCGAGCAGGGAGCCCGATGCGGGGCTCCATCCCAGGACCCTGGGATCATGACCTGAGCCGAAGGCAGACGCTTAACGACTGAGCCACCCAGGCGCCCCAGAAATGCAGATTCTTAGGCTTCATCCTGGATGGACTGAATCAGAAGCCCTGGGGCGGGGGGCTGCAGGCTGTGTTTTCACAAGCCCTGCTGGTGATTCGGTAGTGTGCACGGTGGAGGACCGCTGATGGAGGGCATGGTTCTCAAATTTGGTTGTACTTTAGAAACCCCTGCGAGCCCAGGCAACACCCCAGACCAATTACATCAGAATCTCAGGGGATGGTGGGGGGGGATGAGGTGTGTATGGAAGGTCACACGCATCAGTGTGTTTGATGCTTCCTGTTTCCAATAGACATAAACCGAATTTAATTTTAAAAAATTATTTTGCTAAAAATTGTCAGACATATGTACCATAAAATTGACCATGTTAACCATATTAAAGTCTGCGGTTTCACTTGCATTCAGTTCATTCACATTGTCGTCTAACCATCCCTGCTGTCCATTCCTAGAACTTTCTTCATCTTGCAAAACTGCAACTCTGTACCCATTAAACAGTAACTGTCCATTCCCTCCTCCCCCCACATATATTTTTTTTAAAGGTATTTTGGACAACCAGGTACAACTTACCAAGTCATGGACATAGCAGACACAGGGAATAACAGCCACCAGAAATAGTTGCCCTTGTCTGAAAAGACAGCCATGAGGATTCCCAGCAGCGTGGCATTGTAGCCCTGGAGTCCTGCGGCGATTGCGGACCTGCGGGCGAGAGGCACAGCGTGGGCACGTCCTGGGTGGACACTGGCTGGACTTGCACATAAATGATTCTTGCAACTTTCAGATCATTTTCCCATTAGGAAATGAGATTATATTTAGAAATTTATTCCAAAGTCTGTAAAAGCCAAACACTATTAAAATCATGGGGAAAAATGAAATATACATAGATAAGGATAAAACAGAAATGTGCATATAGAACAACCCCCTTCAGAGGTGTCCTAGCAAGATAAGATTCCAGCATCCAGGTGCAGAAAAGGAAATGAGAGAGGCAGCTTGTCCTGCTTCCTTTAGCCTTTCCTTCAGAAAGTTATTTCTCCTGTGTCATTAAGGGCCTTTGATCTGAACAGAGTTGTTCCATGAAACTGTTCTCTAAGTCTGACATTCTTGGTGAGAGGTGTAAGATGGTCCAACTGTAAATTCACTTTCGTAGTGTTTGTGACCTTAAAAACATTAATCTTCCAACGTAGCATACATTTTCATCTTCCTGTGCTTCCATTTTGTGGTCTCCAAATATACATTTCCAAATTATTGCAAAGAAAAATAATTACTTTAACTGGGCAGAGTATTCCATTTATGTGCATATTTAGCACCAAATTCATTCTTGGGTTCCTTTTTGCCTCTCAGCCTTCTGAAGGTTGACCTATTGTCTTCCTTAACTAATCTTTTGGGACATGTAGGAATTGATGGGATTTTTGCTGGTTTAACTCTGGAAATGATACTCTCTTCTAGAATTTGGGAATATACATGAGGACAGTGGACAGCTAGGCAAAGACTCGCCTTCTCAACAAGGGACTTGCAGATTGAATGCTTGGCCGCCATTGCTTTAATGGCAACGTCAGCAAGTTGTGGAACACCAGAGTTAAAACAATAGACACTGTGTATTCACTTAAAACAGGATTGCTATTTTAATGTGGTCCTTTAGGACTGAGGAAAGTAAGAGAGAATTGAAAATCAACACATATAAATATGGCTTGCCTTCTAAATAATACCTGATAAGGAAAATGGGTCAATTTTTGCTGGAACAAAACAATGAAGGAATATTTGATATGGTACAATCCTGGACCACACCTCCAAACTGGATGCACTGTTTCCTGATGTGCATTGGAATAGGATTTAACCTGACCTATGGAGAACAAATCAGGCCCCTTGGACCTGAAGGGAAAGTGGAACATTTTCGGATTCTCTCTCTGAGAAGCTCCTTAGGTAACTTACAGTAAATATTACAAGAGCTTAGTTGTGTAATGACCATCCACTGGTGCTTACTCATTGATCCTGGACACCTAGAAGACCAGCAGCCTCCCTGACAAAACTAGAAAGTCAGGAGCTGTCTAATCCCATGGTGGGAGTTCGCTTATCACTTCCTCAACAACAGATCAATTTATAAAGTACGTGCTATTTTTAACCCAACACATAGTTCAGAAGACACACTTACACGTCTTAAGTCAGAACTAATTAACTTGGAATTTGTGATTATTCATCTCTCTAGAAACTGAACTAACATCTGCACTGTCTATAAAGAATGAATTTACCAAACTAAGCATGCAAACAATATATAATGGGATTAGTCGGGATTTTTAAGTCACCAAGACTTTTCAAGAACTCATATGCTTGTGTTGCCTGAGTGGCTCAGTCGGCTAAGTGTCTACCTTCGGCTCAGGTCATGATCTCGGGGTCCTGGGATTAAGCTCTGCGTTGGGCTCCTTACTCAGTGGGGAGTCTGCTTCTCCCTCTCCCTCTGCCCCTTCCCCTGCTTGTGCTCTCTCTCTCAAATAAATAAATAAATAAATAAAATCTAAAAAAAAAGAACTCATATGCATTTTTACCCACACAAAATGCTGATGATAAATAATTGATTAATCATTGAAGAAGAATCATTTAGTGAATGACTCAAGAGAAATAATAAAGGATATAAATAATCCCCTGACCTCTGGCTCAAGACAAATATAGAGTTCTGTAGAATAAAGGTGGGTTTTTCTGGGAAGGGTGGGGCTTTATCACTGATGCCCAATTCACTGATTAACTCCTGTGTTCTCAGAAGCAGGAAGAGCAGGCTGGGATGGATGCACCTACCTGTCCTGGGCAAGCAATAGGGCTGTCAGGGTGGAGACCACTGTTCCCACACAGCCATTGAGAGCCCACCAGGGATTCTGGACCAGGAGTCCAACCAGAATCAGGATTCCACTGATGGGGTTGCTGACAAACACCACTTGGGATATGCCCCGAAGAACCCAGTCAACGAACTGGAGCACCTGTGGTTTGTCTGGAAGAGATGAGATGGACAGAGCTAAGGAAGTGACAAGTCAAGGTGCTCCCTTCCACGCCCAGTGCCCACCCTGAGTAAAATCATCAAAATCCCCTCTGATAAAGGTGAAACTAATTTGTGATATTCCTGGAAGCTTTTTCCCTCTGAGCCATTTCCCCTTTAGTCGTACCCAGGTCCCCGAAAACCTCCAGTTTCTTTACGCTCAACCCACACTGCCCTTATTAGAATCTCCACTGCAGAAAGCACTGAATGCGCTTATTTACCATGCTCAGAGGTACAGACTCTTAAGCTAAAGAAATGAATTATTAGAGTAAAACTTCAGTTTTTAAGTACTGAAATTATGGGCTGGAGCCAGGTGCTTTCCTCTAATTTGAGTAGGTCCCTGGCCCTAAGCACTATCTCCATAAAAAAATATTTGAAGAGGCTTGCAGGTTGGAAAATAAAAAATTAGGGGCGCCTGGCTGGCTCAGTCGGTAAAGCATGTGACTCTTGATTTCAGGATTGTAAATTTGAGCCCCATGTTGGGTATTGAGATTACTTAAACATAAAATCTTGGGGCACCTGGGTGGCTCAGTGGGTTAAGCATCTGACTCTTGATTTTGGCTCAGGTCCTGATCTCAGAGTTGTGGGATCAAGCCCCACGTCAGGCTTCATGCTCAGTGGGGAGTCTGCTTGAGATTCTTTCTTTACCTCTGCCCCTCCCCCTGCTTGTGCTCTCTCTTTCTCTCTCAAATAATAAATAAATAAATCTTTAAAAAAATAAATAAGATCTTTTAAAAAAGATAAAAAGTTAAAAACTGGAGAGGAGAGAGATCAATAGAAGGCAGGGGACTGTAATGAAAGATACAAGTAGAAGAACCAGCAAGTCATTTCCCCCAAAGCTACTTCCCCCATCTCTCCAAGGGATGGAAATATAAATACCTTTAAGCCAGCTGGCAAATTCTTTCATATCACCGGTGACATAGCCAAGTGCCTTGGGGAGGTACCTTCTTCGTGGACTTCGTAAAACCTGCTTTTCACCCTGGTCCATTTTAACCATAGTGGGACTATCCTCCATGGTTATCTCTTCCTCTGGCTCCTTGAGGAAAGGACAGAGCTCATAAATATCCTAATGCAGAACACTTCAGACTGGCCAGCACTGGGCCTGGTTGCAGTAGCCACGGAGGATGAGTTAAAAAGCACTTCATCTTAGTCCCAGGGGACTAAGAAAGCACCAATTTCCTCTTGAACCATTGTCATGGAGATTATTACCCAAACCCTAATCCCATACTACTTTTGTCATCACTGTCTTTAATGCTACCATGAGAAGGTTCTGGCCTTGAGTTTCATAAGGTCCAGTTTCTAATTCAACAAATATCCATAGAACACCTACATCCTACACTAAAAGAGCTCAGACTAGTGGAAAAGACTGAAAAATATTTAATTTCAACATACTGACTGAAATAATAATATAGGAAGAGCTAAGACCAAGTACTTGAGATTCATGCTGTTGGCCAGAGGAGCCAGAGGTTAGGTTACAAAATGGCGCTCACGAATGCAGATCAAACAGCTACTTCCCAAGATGAGCAGCCTTTTTCTTAAAATTAAGTTTTTAACTTTAATTCCAATATAATTAGCATAGTGTTATGTTAGTTTCAGGTACACAATATGGTGATTCAATAATTCTATACATTACTCAGTGCTCATCATGGTAAGTGTACTCTTAATCCCTGTCACCTATTTTACCCACCCCCCCACCCATCTCTCCTCTGGCAACCATCACTTTGTTCTCTACAGTTAAGAGTTTGCTGGGCGCCTGGGTGGCTCAGTTGGTTAAGCGACTGCCTTCGGCTCAGGTCATGATCCTGGAGTCCCGGGATCGAGTCCCGCATCGGGCTCCCTGCTCAGCAGGGAGTCTGCTTCTCCCTCTGACCCTCCTCCCTCTCATGCTCTCTGTCTCTCATTCTCTCTCTCTCAAAAAATAAAAAAAAATAAATAAAAAAAAAAGAGTTTGCTTTTGGTTTGTGTCTTTTTCTTTGTTTGTTTTGTTTCTTAAGTTCCACATATGAGTGAAATCATATGGTATTTGTCTTCTCTGATGTATTTCACTCAGCATTATGCTCTCTAGCTCAATCTATGTTGTTGCAAATGGCAAGATTTCATTCGTTTTCATGACTGAATAATATTCCTTTGTATATGCCCCACATCTTCTTTGGATACTTGGGCTCCTTCCATAATTTGGCTATTGTAAATAATGCTGCAATAAACATGGGGGTTCATATGTTCTTTCAAATTAGTGTTTTTATATTCTTTGGGTAAATACCAAGTAGTGTGATTACTGGATCATGGGGTAGTTCTATTTTTAATTTTTTGAGGAAACTCCATACTGTTTTCCACAGTGGCTGCATCAGTTTGCGTTCCCACCAACAGTACATGAGGGTTCCTTTTCCTCCACATCCTCACCAACACTTGTTGTTTTTTCTGTTTTTGATTGTAGCTATTCCGACAGGTGTGAGGTGATATTTCATTATGGTTTTGATTTGCATTTCCCTGATGATGAGTGATGTTGAGCCTCTTCATATGTCTGTTGGCCATCTGAATGTCTTCTTTGGAGAAATGTCTGTTCATGTCTTCTGCCCATATTTTTTAATTGGATTATTTGGGGGCAGGTGTTGAATTATAGAAGTTCCTTATACATTTTGGATACTAACCTTTTATCCATTATATCATTTGCAAATATCTTCTCCTATTCAGTAGGTTGTCTTTTAGTTTTGTTGATTCCTTTGCTGTGCAGAAGATTTTTTTTGGATGTAGTCCCAATAACTTATTTTTGCTTTTATTTCCCTTACCTCAGGCAACATATCTAGAAATGTCAGTGTCAGAGAAATTCCTGCCTCTTCTAGGATATTAATGGTTTCTGGTCTCACATTTAGATCTTTAATCCATTTCGAGTTTATCTTTGTGTGTGGTGTAAGCAAGTGGTCCAGTTTCATTCTTTTGCATGTAGCTGACCAGTTTTCCCAACATCGTTTGTTGAAGAGACTGTCTTTTTTCCCATGGCACGTTTTTGCCTCTTTGGTTGAAGATTAACTGATCATATAATTGTGGGTTTTTTTCTAGGCTTTCTCTCCTGTTCCATTGATTTATATGTCTGTTTTTGTGTCAGTACCATACTGTTTCAATTACTACATCTTTGTAGTATAACTTGAAGTGTGAAATTGTGATGCCTCCAGTTTTGTTTTTCTTTTTCAAGGTTGTTTTGGCTATTCTGGGTCTTTAGTGGTTCCATACAAATTTTAATATTATTTATTCTAGTTCTGTGATGAATGCTTTTGGTATTTTGTTATCAATTGCATTATATCTGTAGATTACTTTGGGTAGTATGGACATTTTAACAATATTTGTTCTTCCAATCCATGAGCATGGAATATCTTTCCATTTGTTTGTATCATATTTAATTTCTTTCATCAATATTTTATAGTTTTCAGAGTACAGGTTTTCTACCTCCTTGGTTAAGCTTATTTCTAGGTATTTTATTATTTTTGGTGCAATTGTAAATGGGATTGCTTTCTTTTTTTTTTTTTAAAGATTTTATTTATTTACTTGACAGAGAGAGATAGCGAGAGCAGGAACACAAGCAGGGGGAGTGGGAGAGGGAGAAGCAGGCTTCTCGCCGAGCAGGGAGCCCGATGCAGGGCTCCATCCCAGGACCCTGAGATCATGACCCGAGCCGAAGACAGACGCTTAACGACTGAGCCACCCAGGCACCCTGGGATTGCTTTCTTAATTTCTCTTTCTCTTGCTTCATTATTGGTGTGTAGAAATGCAACAGATTTCTCTACATTAATTTTGTATCCTGGGATCTTACTAAATTCATTTATCAGTTCTAGCACTTTTTTGGTTGGGTCTCTGAGGTTTTCTATATGTAGTATCCTATCATCTGCAGATAGTTAAAGTTTGGATGCCTTTTATTTCTTTTTGTTGACTGATTGCTGTGGCTAGGACTTCCACTACTATGTTGAATAAAAGTGATGAGAGTGGACATCCTGTCTTGTTTCTGATCTTAGGGGGAAAGCTCTCAATTTTTCACCATCGAGTATGATGTGAGCTGTGGGTTTTTCAATGTGACCTTTATTATATTGAGGTATGTTCTCACTAAATCTACTTTGTTGAGAGTTTTTATCATGAATGGATGTTGTCCTTTGTCAAACACTCTTTCTGCATCTATTGAAATAATCATATATTTTTTATTCTTTCTCTTATTGATGTGATGTATCATGTTGCTTGATTTTTTGAATACTGAACCACATTTGCATCCCAGGAATAAATCCCACTTGATTGTGGTGAATGATTTTTTTAAATGTATTGTTGGAGTTGGTTTGCTAGTATTTTGTTGAGGACTTTTGCATCTATTTCCATCAGAGATATTGGCCTGTAGTTCTCTTTTTTGTAGTGTCTTTATCTGGTTTTAGTATCAGGGTAATATGGGCCTCCTAGAATGAATTTGGAAGTTTTCTTTCCTCTCTATTTTTTGGAAGAGTTTAAGAAGAATAGATATTAACTCTTCTTTAAATCTTTGGTAGAATTCACCCATGAAGCCATCTGGTCCTGAACTTTTGTTTGTTGGGAGTTTTTGATCACTGATCAATTTCATTGCCAATAATCAATTTGTTCAAATTTTCTATTTCTTCCTGACTCAGTTTTTGGAGGTTATATGTTTCTAGGAGTTTATCTGTTTCTTCTAGGTTGTCCAGTTTGTTGGCCTCTAGTTTTTCATAATATTCTTTTACAATCTTTTGTATTTCTGTGGTGGTAGTTGTTATTTCTCTTCTTTTGTGATTTTGTTTATTTGAGTACTCTCTCTCTTTTTTCTTGATGATTCTGGCTAAAGGTTTCTCAATTTTTTTGCTCTTTTCAAAGAACCAGCTCCTGGTTTCATCAGTCTGTTCTATTGTTTTTTAAATTTCTATATCATTTATTTCTACTCTAATTTTTATTATTTCCTTCCTTCTACTGATTTTGGCTTTTGCTTGTTCTTTATTTTCTAGCTCCTTTAGGTGTAATGTTAGGTTGTTTGAGATTTTTCTTGCTTCTTGAGGTAGACCTGTGTTGCTATTCTTCCCTCTTAGAAATGCTTTTGCATCCCAAAGATTTTGGACCCTTGTGTTTTCAATTTCATTTGTTTCCATGTATTTTTGGATTTACTCTTTGATTTCTTGGTTGATCCATTCATTGTTTAATAGCATGTTATTTAACATCCATGTATTTGTGCTCTTTCCAGATTTTTTTCTTGTGATTTCTAGTTTCATAGTGTTGTGGTCAGAAAAAAATGCATGGTATGACTTCAATCTTTTTGAATTTGTTGAGACTTGTTTTGTGGTGTAATATGCGATCTATTCTGGAGAATGTTCCATGTGCACTTTAAAAGAATGTGTATTCTGCTGTTTCAGGGTGGAATGTTCTGACTATATCTGTTAAAATCCATCTGATCCAATGTGTCATTCAAAGCCACTGTTCCCTTGTTGATTTTCTGTTTGGATGATCTGTCCATTGATGTTAAGTGGAGTGTTAACGTGCCCTACTATTATTGTATTACTATCAGTGATTTCCTTTATGTTTGTTACTAACTGTTTTAAGTATTTGGGTGCTCCCATGTTGGATGCATAAATATTTACAATTGTTATACCTTCTTGTTGGATTTTCCCTTTATTATTATATAGTGTTTTTTTTTTTGTCTCTTGTTACTATCTTTATTTTAAAGTTTATTTTGTCTGATATAAGTATTGCTACCCCAGCTTTCTTTTCACATCCATTTGCATGATAAATGTTTCTTCATCCCTTCACTTTCAGTCTGTACGTGTGTTCAGGTCTGAGATGAATCCCTTGTAGGCAGCATATAGATGATGATTCTTCTTCTTCTTCTTCTTCTTCTTCTTCTTCTTCTTCTTCTTCTTCTTCTTCATTTTTTAATCCATTCTGCCACCCTATGTCTTTTGATTGGAGCATTTAGTCCATTTACATTCAAAGTAATTATTTATAGGTATGTATTTATTGCCATTTTGTTCCTTGTTTTATGGTTGTTTTTGTAGTTCTTCTCTG